TTTTTGATTTTCTTTCGGGTTATACACTTAAACAGCAAGTCGAATGGATCAAAGAATCCATAAAAGCAACGGTAGTTGTTAAGTTGGGGAAATATAATTCGTTATGTTAATGACTTCACTAGGTTAAAACGAAAACAACCAAAAAATATATATTAATAATAATTGCCAATTTCCAAGGTGACATCAACAAAACACGTTGAACGATTTTTTTAAAAAATAATAGATTAAATAACCTCCAACTGCTGTTTTTTTGTTCGTGATCATTGGACTGTACGTTGTGTTTGTAAATAAAAAAGTACCTGTTACCTCAAGTCTTTCATTTCTTTGTTTATTATTTATTTTTATTTTATTTAAATTTGATATTCCAGTGAGTCATATCTCAACCAGTGTTTATCTTTTTACAAACGTTTCCCAGGATTTTTCAGTTTTTTTTCTTACCGGAGATAATTGACCAAATTAGCTGTGCAGTGTCGACATTTACTCATCATTCTATAGTTACTAGTAGACGGTTATCCTCGAATAGGTGCAGTCACATCTATACATACATAGTTACTTTTTAAGACTCTAATCGAGAGTAAGAGAGGATTGAATTCATTTCTAGTGTCTTCCGAAACTCCTAAGAACCTTTAAGCTCTACTCAACAGACTACACACACACACACACACACACACACACATATTTCGATTTGCCTTATATTTTTTCGTCTTGGATGCTAGCTGAATTTTACCAAAAAGAAAATAATTTCCATGCCTGATGATGACCGGAGAACCCGCCGAAAGTACTTGCTTATTTAAGTAAGACCTTATACAGATTATAAAAAAAAAACAAGTAGCATAACATTCATCGACGTCTTTCGAACTAAAAGTTCAACTTGGTTATGGACACTTGGACGATGATTCAATCTAGAAAGCCCCCACACACACACACACACACTTTGGTCATTGACTTCTGCCTAAGAAGTCTTCGCCCAGCGATGCAATGTCATTACGCCACTGGCTGCATTGATACATCGCTGTAAAGGTTCATCCGCCTTTTATAGCTCCTGTTTTCATTCATTTAGGTGTCTATCAACTCTCCTTACCAGGAAAGTCTAGTTGGAGAACTGGTTTAATCTTCGATGACCCGACCACACGACAGATAGTAATAGGGTTACACGCTACCAGTAGCACTCGTAGAAGGTACTATCTTTGACTGAAGAAACCTGCATATATTCTCATAAATACTGAAAGTTTCAACTCAGATTTATTTGTTTATTTATTTCCCATGGTAATGTATTCAAAAGAAATAGCCGGTTTACAAACTCCACAAAAAAAAAAAAAAAAACAATCGATGAAAGGGAAAAAAACATGAACTTTGTATTCGGGCAGTAAATAGATCGTTATATTGTGCCCAATGAGAGAACATCGGACTATGAAATTAGGACACAATCGAATCAACCTGTTACTGTTTGTCAGGAAACTATTTGTTTCCTTTCCTCAACAAATGTTTTCTATTGATTATAATAAAGATAGCGTTGTGGTTGCGGATCGATTTTTTTTTTTTTTGATAATATTGTTGATCATTATTACGAAGGCGGGGTGTGAATTTATCGATCCGAATAAGCAGGGATTCCTAAATAAAATACTGATGTTTGCTAATGTCAGATTTTGGAAAGTAGGTTGAACAGAAATATTTACTTATTTTTTTTTTTATTGATGACGTTATTAATTTTTATGCGCACAGAATATATATCGTCTCGTCTAGGAAGAGGTTCCTTAATAACATTCTGATGTTTAGTGATGTGGACATATGTTGTAGAAAAAATATATATAAAAAATATCCTTACTTTAATTGATCACCTTATATTTTTTAACACTCTTGTTCGTCCAATAGAAGACTCAAGAGCCTCCCAAAATAGATGGTTACTGAATACGTTTTTAATAAAGGTGAACAAAGAGGGCGTAAATAGTGTATATTATGAGGATATGGAAGATAGATAACAGTTGACCCTAGACTTGAAGAGGTTAAGATAGTAGTGAACGTGAAAGCATCCTCTCGAGAGTCTATTCGAATGGAACTTCCTCACTACAAATGAAATATGAAGCGAATATGGGTGAGTCAACTTTGTACATAACATGGCAAGTCCTAGCTGAGAAGGTCTGCACTGGTGGAACTAAGAAATGTAATTCGTCTGGGCATCTGCCATGAAAATAACGATAGAGTAGTAATAAACATCAAAGGATGGAACACTCATATTAGAGAAGGAAAAATTTCTTTAACACTGGAACGAGTACATTGTAGAACTCTTCTACGACGAAAGGGAACAACCAGCAATACACAGAACTACCGACGGACCTGGAATTCTGAGAACCGAAGTAAAAGCCGCACTGGCCAAATTGAACGGAAACAAAGCAGCTGGGCCAGACGGAATTGTAACGGAAATGCTGACAGTCTTAGATGACTTTGGCATAAACAAGATCACAAAAAAATAATAAATGAAATCTACAACAATGGAGATATACCGGAAGACCACAGCAGCTCTATCTTCATAGAATGCCTAAGAAACCAGGCGTAAACGAATGTGAACTCCACCGAACAATCAGCCTAATGAGCCACGTAACAAAACTCATCATCCGTATTCTGATGAATAGAGTACGCAGCAGAATCAGGTCAAGAACAGTGCGGGTTCGTTAAAGACACTGGAACAAGGAATGCAATATTCATGCTCAGAATGTTATCAGAAAGAGCGATACAAATGCAGAAGGACGTGGACCTATGTTTCATAGACTACACCAAGGCCTTCGACAAAGTACGCCACAAGCATCGGCTGGAACTACTCAGCAACCTTGATATATTTGGAAACGATATTAGAATAATCAAGGACCTATACTGGCAGCAAACAGCACGCATGCGCATAGTGAACGAGCTCAGTGAATATACAAAAATAGAAAGGGGTGTAAGGCAAGGATGTGTCTTCTTACCGGATCTGTTCAACCTATACATCGAGGCAATTCTGAGAAAATTGGAAAGCCTACTGGGGTTCAGTATTAAGGGTCACAATCTTAGCAACAAAAGATACACAGATGACACAGTACTGATAGTAGACAAGGAAAAGACATTGCAAAATCTCTTACAGGATGTAGCGAAGGAGAGTGAGAAAAATGGACTAAGCATAAACTACAAGAAGACAGAATTCGTGGTCATCAGTAAAATGGTGAGCCCGAAATGCGATTTTCAGGTCGGGGACACTAAATGCAAGCAGGTGCGGAAGTTTAAATATCTGGGAAGCGTTTTGACAGAGGACGGTAAGTGCGACACTGAGATCCGTAGACGTATTGGGATGGCCAAGGGTGTGCAGAGTATTGCGAGACAGGAGGATTTCTTTGGTAATCAAGAAAAGAATACTGACCTGTGACGTGACATCTGTCCCTCTTTACAGCAGCGAATGTTGGACGGTCTTCTTAAGAAGAAGAGACTCGAGACGATGGAGATGTGGTTCTACAGAGGTATACTGAGGATACCATGAACCGAACGTCTGAACAACGATGAGGTCTTAGTGAGGATGCAAACAAGGAGGGAGCATATACTAAACATCAGGAAGAGGCAGCTGAAGTTTCTGTGACACATAATGAGGAAGGAGGGCCTGGAGAATCTAATACTCACAGGTCGAATAGAAAGAAAGAGAGACAAGGGAAAACAACGCATGAGATACCTAGCGGGCTTAATCAAGTGAATGACAGAACGTGGTCTAGGGGAGGTGGCAGAGGTAAGGAACTGGTTGAGACCTACAAGGGATAGAGGGAAGCAGAGAGCTCTGATCGTCTACGTCCTGAAAGGACATGGCACATAAAAATTAAAAAATAAGCAATAAACAAGTAACTTTTTGTCTGTGGGGAAATGTTTGCAGGGGGAAAAATAATTCATCAACCACAAGGCAGCTTAAACAAGGTTTGTCATACATATATCTGTAATAACATAATGGGTTTATTATACGAACCAATAGTCTCTACTCTAAAATTCAACAAAAATGTTGGCCAGGGCTGGGTCAAGAGAACTACTCATAGCAACCCCATGAATTTTCCATCCTATTAAAGTTAAATCCCATAGACTCCGTGGCAAACTCCATAAACTCAATGAAAACAGCCTCCAAAATTGGAAAAGGAGAAAAATGATCTTGAAACAAATCATTATCACAAATATCAATCGTGACAAATTAGATAATAGTTACCCACTGGACATTGTACAATCTGACATTCGTGCCAAGATGGCGTAATTTAATAAATCTAATTTCCCGTTTATTTGGGATTTTCGCGGATTGGTGAGGTTAGCTCTAGATTTACTAAACAAATCTATCATAGTGTGAAATCTTGCTATTTTTCTGCTAATCCACAACTGGCGTTTTCGCCCCAACCTATGCTGAAATCTGTTTGTAAGGATGTTCTACTCCCAGATGATGAGAGCTCAGTTATTTACAATTATAAAATTCAGCTGAATATATAGCTAAAACTAATCAAATACTGGAGACTACAATAGATCAGGATGTGATTTTTCATGGGAGATGCGATAATTTGCATAATCTGGTTAATTCCTTAGATTCAAATCAATTGCCATTTGAAAATATTAGAGTCATTATACTTTGGACCTAAGTAGCCTTTAAGCAGGAGGAATGGCTGCTGGGTCTTGATATAATCGGAGTGTGATTATTTTTTTTCCTCTGCTGATTCCCTGATTGTTCTTAAGTTATTGTTTTTTTTTAATATTGAGCACTCAATTTACACGTTTATGTTTATCGTCGATTGGCTCCTAAAAGCAAGAATCAAAAACAAGTTACCCTCATTTTTTGTTATTTTCTTGTTTATTGTTGTTAATGCCTATTGCTGCTAATGTTTCCATTCACCTCTTCACACTGATTGACTTTATTGTCTTTCCTCTTCTTCCCCATATATTTTTATATACAATTTTAATATGCCCGTTTTTATAGCATCGATAAAACGTTGTACCAGCCTATTGACTGTTTGGACTTCTCATACGATCACCGAAGTTAAGCAACGTCGAGCCTGGTCAGTAACTAGAGGGGGTGACCGTTTGGGAATACAAGGTGCTGTAATGCTGCTGCCAATGACGTAATGGATAACGACTCGAAATTAGAAATCGGAGAACCGAATTTCAATTCCGGTTGTATTCCCTTTGGGAAAGGCATGAATCCGCATCTCCCTCTGGCTATTGATTAATTAGTGCAACTTGTATCAGTATATCATTATTATCTCAAAAAATTCTTACAATCTAAAAGTATTTCAAGCTTTAAATAACCTTCAAAAGGTTGATAAGCCCTAGAAAACAAATCAATTATCGTATTTCCCGCCTTACAAGACGCATTTTTTTCCTGAAAAATACGTGTGCCTCTTCCAAGACGAATGTAAGCAACGCCCAGGCGCAAGTAAGCTCCGACGGTCACCTAATTGGCTTGGGTCGTGGATTTGGATATGAGTCGTTACACTATAAGGTTATCTATCTAATTCATCCTTTTATATGATGTAACAGCTAAGTACTGAGGTTACAAGTATTTCCAAAACTATAAACCTTCCTGGAGCTGAGCCACAAACTTAAACATGCTCTGTTTACTAGCAGCGGCGGGAGCCTTTCTGCTCTTGCCAGTATGTGAGGGACACATGGTGAATGTGTTGTTGTATAAGAATGACTTTTTTTCTTAGAAATTTCTTTCCAATATTAGGGTTCGTCTTCCAAGCCGCAGCGTCTTGTAAGATGGAAAATACGGTAATCATTCATAGACTGTTTATGTCGTATTCTGTTCATGCACTAGATGGGTTATTCTTGTTTTCTTCAAGATGAGTTATATTTTATTTTGTTCTTTTATTTAGATTATTTCTTTCTTGTTCCTTGGTTAGAGATCTTTCTAGCGTTATAGTATATTTTCTGTGAAGTCTCTTTCGTTAGATTATTACATTAATAGTAATTATTATATTAATAGTAATTATAATTATTACTACAGACTTAAATGCCACCGAAAGCGCAACTGAAGCTAAAATTTATAGTCATCATCAAGAGGAACAACCCAAGAGGAAAACTACGACTTGGAGACGTAAAAATCAAGCAAAGCCATACTTTTAAATTTTATCTGAAAAGTCGTTTAATAGACGCCTTCCAAAATCTAAACAAAATATTAAAAAACAGAAAATTCGTTAGATACAAAGAAGAGAGCTGAACAGCTATGTAATTTCAATTTTCCTATATGGCAATGAAAATTACAGATTTAAAAAAAAAATTTAAGCATTCAACCCCAAGCAAGGCAGGAAGCCACTAGAACGCAAGGGCTTACAGAGAGATGGAGCGAGAGCAAAGAGGACTGATAGAGGAAAGGATGAAGAGAAGTTTAGGGGATAGACAGGGCATCTGGAGACGTCGATTGACATTACATTTGAATAGTTGGAGATTATAGCTATCAGGGAAACAAGAACTGGAGAGGGAGTTCCCCAGGCGAGAAGTGTGAGACATGAAGTTATTGGTGTACAAGAGACGGCTAGATTTAACAGTTTCGACAGTGAAAGGGTGAGAGCGAGATGCCAGCCTAGTTGAACGCTTAAATTCATAAAGTCTGAGAACCAGCGAAAGCAGCTCATCGGAGCAGTGAAAATATTTGTAAAAAAGACAGAGGGAGGCAACGGCACATCTGTGAGAGAGCGGCTGTAGACGAGATGCCAGGTTACATTGTATATCTGTCATTGGATTTTATCAAGAACCTTGAGACAAATAGAAGGGGTTCCAGACTATATATGGCAAAATGAAGGAGAAACTTGATGCCACAGAGATGTGACCCCTAGAAGGATGCTGAGAATACTGTAGACGTAATATGCGAGCAACGAGTAAGTTTTTAAAATATGGGAACTATAGAACATATATACTTACAATGAGAAGCCTAATCAGCCTAATCTTCAGATCACATATATAAAAATGCTGATCCATTATCGTTAGTCTTTTCAATACTGAAAAATGGAAAAAGTGCGCACAACATTTAAAATACAGGGTGAATATCAAAAACTGTATATATATATATATATATATATATATATAAGGAGCCAGGAAAACCTACCTACGTTTCACCTAAACGGATCTTCAGAGTAAAGCCTGAAGATCCGTTTAGGTGAAACTTAGGTAAGTTTGCTTGGCTCCTTAGGATTATCTTAGGTTTTGCTCTACTTAGTGTATTGAGCACTTTACGTAGTGGTCCTTTTACGCGTTTTAGGGTTTGTTTTTTTCTTTGGACTTGGAGCTTAAACACTGGACGATTGTTTTCGCCTTGGTTTAATGTTCTTGGTTCTTTCTTTTTTTATTCCACATTTTTACTCGGATACCGATTTGTTCTACTGCAAGTTGAGCTATCCGACGTTTTTCAAACGTAGCTGCATATATATATATATATATATATATATATATATATATATATATATATATATATATATATATATATATATATATATATATATATATATATACAAAATATATATATATATATATATATATATATATATATATTCAGGCCGGCCGACGAAAATAAATAATTATACTGTTTAGTAAAAAAGCAGAGCGTCTAAAAATACGATTATCCACTAAAAATAAAGTTTAATTAATATAAATTAATAATAAAAAAATTATTCCATTTCTGCTTTTGTTTACATTAAAATACGAAACTAAGCAGTTATGTCTATTTCAAGTGACAGAAAAATTTGTGATTCAGCTATGCCTGGTCATCGACCCACTCTGTAGCTGAGAAGTGATTATCTATCTATCTATCTATCTATCTATCTATCTCTCTCTCTCTCTCTCTCTCTCTCTCTCTCTATATATATATATATATATATATATATATATATATAAATATATATATATATCTTAACCATTCAGCCATAAAGAAGCGTATAGTTAGCAAAGTCCAAATTACTGTTTGTAAACAACAAATCTTCAACGATATTTTCCGAACGATCATATCTGCTCACGAAATATATCTTATGTATGTGTGTGTATGTTTGTGTGTGTGTGAGTGTGTGTGTGTATGGCTGCGATATATGAATTGAACGCCGTTTACCTATTGTAAGTGGGACGCAGGTTCGAATCCTGCCGAAAGTTCCGTTTTCTTTATTATTTCTTTCCCGGTCGTTAGACAGCAATTAAACTGTTTTAAAAGAGCAGTTATGTCTACTCAAACATGTGTATTAACCAAATATTTGTGTTTGTGTGTCTGCGTATGCGTGTGTGTTCATTAAAGGTAAACAATATTCAATCCCAAAAGTCACTCCTGCTTATAAGCGGAAGAGTGTAAGAAGTTGATATGTATTTTTCCAGGCCTTTCAAGTGAAACTCTGAACGTATTTTAATCAAAACAAAGAACATGACATTGTCATGTGATGACGTATAAGTATTGATAAGTATTCGGGTGTCACTGACCCAGATGTATTGACGTACTTATGAAAATTAATAAAAAATCTCTTTTCGAATTGTACACTATTTTTTTTTAATTTCTCGGTTAATCTCTGATGATAACTGAACAACTTATTTATTTATTTATTTTATATTTTCTGTGTTCTCCATTTCCGCTTTACACTGTTTTTAATCCATCCGTTTTTATTACAATAAAAATTTCATAATGAAAGCTAAAATCAAACTGTTGCATGCATTGGCCATCTCAATAATTCTGAACACCTGCGAATTATCGACATTAACAGAAGAATTGCAGTGAAGAATCCAAACATTAAAAATGAGATGCTACGAAACCATCCTAGGCATCTCATATGTAGACCGCATCACAAATGAGGGAGTACGGAACACCATCAGACAAGAAACAGGCCCATTGGAAAAATCTTGTAACCATCACCAGGAAGATTTGATTTGTTGGATTTCTTTAGCAGCATATCAACATCTACTTGTTATTTCATGCCGAAATCTAAATATCCCGTACACAATTTCATGCTTTCAACTACAAATACCTTGTGCTACAAATACCTTGTGCTACAAATACCTTGTACATAATTTAAGATTATAAAATATTATTAATATATTATTAATTTTAAGCTACAGATACCTTGTACATAATTGAAGATTTTAAAATATTATTAATATTTTTATTAATTTTAAGCTACAAATACCTTGTACATAATTTAAGATTGTAAAATATTATTAATATATTATTAATTTTAAGCTACAGATACCGTGTACATAATTTTATGCTCTCAGGTTAAAGATGTTTTATATATATATAGTTTGTAGATCATAAAATATATTGTTGGTAATTTTACTATAAAAATGTATTTTTATATAATTTTTTAGTGTTGCATTGATTGTCATTTTTCTATTAAAAATGTATTGGCCATTTTATTATAAAAATGTACTGTTGATTTTTATCTGGGTATTTACAATTTACCCATAGCTGGGACCCTAACAGGTGCTACCACCCCGGGTCAGAGTGGACCTGGGAACAACAGCAGTTAAGACGTGCTTCTACACTCCTGAAAACATCCAATCTCCTGATCAGTGGCCTTGCTGCTGGATGCAGTTTATTGTCATACCCAGGACGCTCGTTAAAAAGAGAAAGTTGAAATATTATCGACACAGTCTTTCTACTGCCAACCAATAAGGTTCCATCTTAGATAACAGAAGAAGAGACAGACCGAAGGAGAAAAAAAATGGACAGGCAATGTCGCTGAATGAAATGGAAGACTCATTGCGTCGATTCAGACATTGGTACACAACCGAGACAATAGGTACATAGCGACCTTGCAAGCACACTCCGCCATGACACTGATGAAGATGAGGATTTTACTACAATAATTAATACTATCTTATCTTCCGAAAGTTTATTTTAATACTCACGTGCCTAGTAAATGCAGTGGGGCATTTATTTTGGGGTAAAGAAATTCTCTGAGTCACACTCCTTTTTTGACTTTCGTGCGTTTTGACTCTTTAAATGATTTTCCGATCCCTCTTTACCACCAACTACCCAGCATGTAACATCCCGATTGTATAAGACAGCTAGAAATACTGATATTTACAAAGCCCAAATTATTATAACACAATGTCAGCTGAATAAGTATAGGGA